GGGGTAATTCAAGTGAAGAAAAGTAAACCTGCTCCAATATTCACCTGAGTATTTTTTAAAGAATCAGGATGAAAGTACCCACTAATATATATTTCTTAATTGTTTCTTCTTACAATATGACACCCCTTGCTCTATCTTACTCTGAAGCATGTAATATAAACATATTTTCCAAAATAATATCCATTTTTAAAGATATTTTATAAAGACTACATAAGAACTGAGCTGCAAAATTAAAACAAATAAAGGATGCAATATATTATATCCCATGAACAATAAGCACATTTATCTGGGATATTGGGATTTATCATTTTGTATCAGAATTTATGATACTACATTATATTTAAAAACCCCTATCAGTTTTATACTTCCTTAAGGCAATTAGTGACAACAGTCTTAGCAACTATAGTGCATATATGAATCGTGCATTTATTTTTCACTGTTCATTGTTTCATTCATATTATTGACGTAATAGAGTTTCTAATCAAAATCCATGTAATTTGATTCCCACGAATAGACTTCCAGACAGAAATATTAGCTAGCCATTTCTATGTGCATTGTGGGCAATTTTAAACTTACTACAAATACTGTAAAGGCATATTCATTGTTATTTTGTTCATAAAATAAAGAATTACTGAACAACTTGGCATGTTGTAATAAATATTGGTTTGCTTCCAAAAACATTAATCTAAAAGAATTTGCCTTGCAATACTTAAGAAAGTCTAAGTAATGTTTACAATACACTAGCTTCAATGAAAGCAGCATGTAAGACCTCTCTTTTATGTTCTTCTTCATCTGGGGATCAGTATCTGATATCAGGATACAAGCAGTAGAGTAGGAAGTTACAGATGTACGAAAAATTTAAATCTGCATGATGATGTCTTGCTTAGTTCATTGACAGTTAAAGTGTGGGAGCTTCTTCATTGGCTTAGCTCAATTCAGGGGACTTTAGAGGTTTTGAAGCTTTTGTTCTGTTAGTTTTATTAGTTTAAAAAATATTATAGGTTTATAGTGAAATTGGAGGGGGTGATGTAGTGAATAAATTAATGCTTACTTTTAAACAATTAAAAGAAATGGATTCATAACTTATACCATCATCTTTTTCATAAAACTTGTGATAACAAAAAGGATTCATTCTACATATCTCTTGGAGATAACTCAACCAAATCTTACATGAATTATCTTCAACTCTTGATGATGCTTGAGTAAAAATAATAATAATAAATACTAGTTCCTTTTAGTTCATACCCTGTCAGCAATAACATCTGTTGTTGTTGTTTTTTCTGCTCTCAGAATTAGAGAAAATACTTCCTGTGGGTTGTTTTTTCAGGTGAAAAGAAATAAATAATCAAGTTCTTTGGCCAACTCCTCTTCTACTAAAATCAATGGGAAGCTTCTTTTTTATTCTTTTTAGTTTAAAAATTACTCCAAAGTAGCTATTTTTTCTTGCTGTTTTCTTATTAACAGAAGATACAAAAGGGACAGAAGGAAATACTTGTGGGGAGAAAGGGGAAAAGCATCAATTTTCCTTTAAAGCAGCAGATAAGTACCAGAATAGAAATTAAAGCCCTTTATTCATTTTACCCAGCTCATTAAAATAATTATTTATATTTGACTTCTTAATAGAAATTCAGGTAAACACAAAATATTTTTTCTGAAAAAGTAAAACATCACCAGGACTTCATAACAAACAGGTTCAGTGTAGTCCCAAAACTTTACCACCAATCTGATTTATTTTTTGTCTACCAAAAGAGGTGTAAGCATAACACAGATGTGTGAACTATAATATCTTACCTATCTCAAATTCATGGATTTGCAAATCTTTTGAAATGAAGACATTTCAAGATTGAAACATCCAATGGGCTGCTAGGGCAGTCTAGCACTTAGCTGAACTATAGGCAAAATAACCTCTTTCAAAATTTGCAGTACTGTCAAGTGATACACTAATATAAGTAAATAACATTGTTTAACATAATACATTTTGTATACATAATGATTTAATTGTTTAAATGTGAAATGAGCCTGTGGGCTGTGGCCTACTATTGGGCCATGGCCTCTTGGTCACCAATGTATGCACATGTGTGCTCACACTCACCCCCCCACTTGCGCAAGCACCACCACCACCATCGTGTGGGTGCTAGTGGCCCCGTTTGTGTCACACAGGTACTAGCAGCCCCATTTGTGTCATGAATGCAATAGTGCCACTCCCAAGCATTGTACGGGTGCTCAAATGGCCCATTTGAGGCATGTGTGTGCTTGTGGCCCCATTTGCTCATGGCCTGCCTTTCCCTCCCAGCCGCCAACCTAAAAAGATTGGGGACCTCTGATCTAGGAGGAGTATGAGCTGGTTAATCCTCATTGACGTAGACAGTGTTCACATTGCCTAGATGAAATGGATTCTCTTGAATATTTCCAGTGCGGATTCAGCCAAATTATAGGTATAGCACTAAAGGGCATACATTGTTCTTGCTGATGAACTTGAGGGCCCGAAGTGAAGTTGTAAAACCATACTGGCTCTCCTGGATCTCTTGGCAGTTTTTAATACCATCAACCATAGTATCCTTCTCAGTATCTTCCCCAGGATTTTGTGGTGAGCTATTCTTTTCCTATTGCAAGTTGCAATTGATGTTGATGGACGAAAAGAGGTTAAACCCTAGGCCCTTGTAAGGTTCCTCAGGGCTCAAGTCTCTTCCCTTTTCTTTTTCACATCTACATAATACTGCTAGTTGCAGTCATCTGATTGCATGGATTATATATAGCATCCTCACTATACTGATGATACTCAGCTACACATTTCTACCCCTAGCCAGAAAGATGGTGCTTTTGCCATATTTTCCAAGTGCTATAGCATATAAAGGTCTGGATGGGAAAGAATCTTCTTTGCCTCAATCCTGGCAAAACAAAGTAGCTCTGGGTTTTTGGCTTTCCAGGGTCTAGTTACTTGTCATCTTACACTCTGAATGAGGTTGCCCTCCTCCATCAAGCTGGTGTTCAGTTTGAGGGTCCTCCAAGACTTATGACACCTGCCTGATGAGTGGGTGGCAGCTGTGGCTGGGAGGGGGGTTTCACAAAACTATCTTGTGCAATAATTGCATCCTTTCCTGGATTGGGAAGTATTGAACATAATCACTCATGCCTTAGTCATTTTCCTGTTTGGATTACAAATGGGCTTTATATTGAAGTGGCCTTGAAGACTACTTGGAAGTTACAACTTGGTATAATGTAGCAGCACACAGAGTATTTGGTGCTTATATATTTGTTTCTGTTACTCTCCTATTACCCATGCTACACAGGCTTTCAGTTTTTTCCTGGATTCAATTCAAGATGTTGATTATCACCTTTAAAGCCCTACATGGCATTGGACTTTATTATTTACAGGATCACCAAAGGATATTTATCTTTCCCACTGGAATGGATAGGGTAGGTAAGGTACACTCCAGATGCAGTAGGACGTTCTAAGTGTGCTATTTCCGTGGCTGCCCCTACCTTATTGAACACCCTTCCCATGGCAATACAGCAGGCATTCCTTCTCTTTTAGTCTTTTGGAAAGCCTGGCTTTTTAAGGAGATGCTGGGATAGATTAGAACTGAATTGAAATAATGTAACAGTAGTGATTGGCATTAGCTGTGGAGAATCTTAAAAGGATTATTAAGATGCAGTTATATTGTTTTGATGATTTATTTGATACAAAAACACACACAAGGATGCACACCTTCACAGAGAGACATACACCAAGGATTTCAAGCAGTTCTTCAGACTTTCAATAAGTTCAGCCTTTAGGTTAAGCAGAAGAAAAGCCCTTTTGAGTTTTTAAGAAGAAACTGGACAGCTATTTGTCCGAAATGGTATAGGGTTTCCTGCCTGAGCAGGAGTTTGGACTACCGTAGATGACCTCCAAGGTCCCTTCCAACATTATCATTATTATTAATAAAGTATACCATCTTTTTCTTAACAATAAACCTACTAAAGTTGAAGTTGCCTTGGACCCCGTCTTATATCACAACATGAAAAAAAAAAAAGGTATTTAAATATTATTATAACTTTTGGGAAATAATGAGGGGGGAAGCAAACTGTATCTTTGACTCATTTAAACAGTACATACTGTTGTTTGGGGAATATGTATTCTGAGATGAAATTAATTTCATGAATTCCAGAAGGAATGAAGAATCAGCTCCCTTCTCTTTTTATTATCTTGCTACAGATTGTACTCAGATTGTCTTAACAGAAAGGTCGCACAGATCAATTTAAGATGCTAAACATTTCTAAGCTTCAAGGTAACTGCTCATTTAAATTCTCACTGCATTTGTAGTTCTGTATATCTTTTTTTTTTACTTTTCACATTAATCCTACAGTTTTTGTACAGAATTAATGACAAAAATGATTAAATAACTGAATTAAATGCTTTCTTAAAATAAGCTTTTAATCAAATCTAAGCAAACTAACTTTGGCTGGGTTACTTTAGCTTTTATAAACTGACCATTATTGGCACATTGTAATAAAGGTTCAACTATATTTATTATTTATTATGTTCATCACCTTTCCCTTCTCCTTCTCCTTCTCCTTCTCCTTCTCCTCTTTCTCCTTCTCCTTGTTCTATATCAGATATATATTAAAAAAGTAATTCAGAATAAGAACATTTTTGGTTTGTGTTGATTTTTTTAAATCCTCTCATAATTTCCACTGTGAAATACATTCTTTTGGATATTTTATACCACACCTCCCACTTTTGAATAACATACAAAATATTTTTTTCCTCCAATTTGCAATAGTAGATGCCTCTATTTAGACTTATTTGGCTATTCTTAAAAAAAATACATTTCGAAAATGGCCAAAACAAAAATAAAAACCCAATAGCTTGAAAAGAAAAGAACAAAGCTTTGTGGGAGAATGAAATACATTACTTTTGTGTTACTGCCAGAGGGGGTAAAAACAAAGTGAATGTGTCTATGCAATCATATACAGTAGGACCAGCAAGAGAGATTTTTGGGAGTTGGAAGGGAACAATGAAGATGGAGAAAGTGCCTATGAAATACAGTGAAAGCAAATCAGTGAATACCTGTATAGAAGAGGACAAGTATGGCCAAAATAAATACTATAGATTGTCCTACCATTTAATCCCTTGCACTTCAATTCCCTGAAATCTCTCCATTTTGACTTTATGAAGAAACCAAAGTCTCAGATAATATTTAACATTTTCTTTAGGTTTCTTATCTATTCACAATAAAGACTGATTACCAATGAATTAATGAATTACAACATCATAACAATCAAGAGCACAATGTTAAAGTGAGAAAGGCAGCACTTAAATTTTCAATTTGGTGATAGATGTGAAAAAAAGAACACATATCATATAATTCTCAGTACAGATCTCAAGAAAATGTGACACTTAAATTAATATGTATGTTTAATTGAAATCATCATACCATATATCTTTGTTTACTGCATAATTAACTGTTTTATTTTTTGACAGATTCTATGTTTCCTGAATCTTCTGGGTTGGAAAATCAAACTGGAATAACAGAGTTTATCTTGTTGGGACTCTCCAATGATCAACACATAGATGATTTTTTTCTCTTTTTATTTATGATAATTTTTTTAGTCACCATACTTGGAAATACAACTGTTATATTAGTGATCAGGACTGAACTTTGCCTTCAGACTCCCATGTTCTTCTTTCTTAGCCATTTAGCTTTTGTTGACATCTGCTATTCCTCAGTCACTGTTCCCAAGATGCTAGGAAATTTTATTACAAAGCAGAAAACCATTTCCTGGGAAGGATGCATTGCACAGATTTTCTTTTTTATACAAACCTGTTGTACAGAACTGTTCATTCTTTCGGGAATGGGATATGATCGTTATGTGGCCATATGTGATCCACTTCATTACAGCAAATACTTGACAAGAGAGATATGCAATAAAATGGTGGGTGGAGCCTGGATTCTAGGTTCCTTATGTGCTACAGGGAATGTCCTGCCTTTGCTAAATCTCAAGTTTTGCAGCAACAATATAATCAGACACTATAATTGTGAGCTTCCTTCACTCTTGGCCTTGTCTTGTGCTGAAACTCTCACTAATTACATTATTCTTCTAATATTTGTGTTTATGTTTGGTTTTAGCTCATTTCTTTTCACTCTGGTCTCTTATGTTAATATTATTTCAACCATCCTGAAAATTAAACTTGCAGAAGGCAGGCAGAAACTTTTTTCCACATGCAGTTCACATGTCATCGTTGTGGGGTTGTTTTACATTACAGCTTTTGTTCGCTATGTGAAGCCAAGTTCAGAATCATTTATCGATCTGGACAAAGTGATCTCTATTCAGTATAGCATTTTAACACCCATGTTAAATCCAATCATATACAGTCTGAAAAACAAAGAGATCAATTCCGGTGTAAAAAAACTATTTGGAAACTGTAGGCTCATTTTTTAGTCATGAAAAAGTATTGGCTGCTCTTCTTAAAATCCCAACAGCTCCAACAATGAAAAGAATAAGAAGTAATGAGGCAGCAGGAATGACTGTTGCTACTTCCCCCAAGTCCTCAATATTAGAATTACGTTCTGATATGAAGGTATGAGGATTTCATGTTGCACCCTGCTGTAATAGTAAGGAATAATTCAAAGGAAACAAAGTGGTGTCACACTGATATCCATCTGAGTCCACTTTTTTAAAGAATCAAGAAAATATCCACTGTGGTTTTATTTTTTGTTGCCATATTACTGTAATAGTAATTTTATTAGCTGTTTATATAAATGATGGGTACCATACTTTTTTTTCATTTTAGTCTCTCAGGATAGTTATCATTATGTATCTATTGGATCTGAAACCAATCCATTATTCCTCCAAAGCATGTACATAAAGAGCATAAATAATAATCCTCCCCCCCCCCAAAAAAAAACAAGGATGAAAATAATGCTGTGCAGATATAAAAAAAATGTTATCTGGAATGAGGACTACTGTTTTTTTTTAACCCAATACTTCACGCTGGGTTGGGCTACCCAATTTATTTATCTAATGGACCTTTAATTGGGACAAGCCCATTTGTACAAATCTTGTACAATAACAACATGGCAAGAAAGCAGCATTCATATATGAAAATAATATTAAAAACAGAACTCAAAGGTGAACTTCCCAAATAGATTGGACTTTGCATCTCTGTGTGTCTTCAAGTCAGTGCTGATACTTGGTAACTGCCCAGACTGATCTTTGCAGTTTTCTTGCCATTATTTCAAAAGTGGTTTGAAATTTCATTCCTCCTAGTGCTAAGAAACACTGACTGTTCCTAAGCCTCTGCATGTAATGAAATGGAGAAAGAGAAGAAGTATTGCTACCTAGAAATAATCAGACAAGATGGGCAGAAGCCCACAGTAACTTAACAGTTACAAAAATAAATTAAGAACCAATGCACCTCAATGGATCAAGCAATTAATAGCTGATAGCTTCCAAATCCAAAAAGGCAAGAGGCAAGGTTGCCCATTATCACCACTGCTGTTTATACTATCTCTTGAGGTACTAACTAGAGTAATCCGGCAAGATAAGCAGATCAAAGGTTTAGAGATTAAAAAAGAGACATATAAAATACAAGCCTTTGTAGAGGACTTAGTCTTTATAATCGAAGAACCATTACAATCAGGGATAAGATTGATGGAAATACTGAGTAGATATGGGGAGATAGCTGGCTTAAAGATAAATAAAGAAAAAACTAAAATGCTCGTCAAAAACATGACCAAAATCCAGGAAAATGAATTGGTTGACAGAATAGGTGTTCAAATTACAAACAAAGTTAGATATTTAGGGATACAATTTTCTGCCAGATGCGTTACACTTAAAAGGGATTATTACGATAATTTAATAGAACAGATCCAAAAAGATCTCGATATTTGGACTAACTTACAGCTCTCTTTGATGGGCAGAATTGCGGTGATTAAAATGAATGTGCTACCGAAAATGCATACCTATAAAATTAGACAAGATTTTTTTTTCAGAATTTGAATAAAATTATGCTTAAATTTATCTGGCGAGGAAAAAGAGCAAGGATTAAATTAAAATTATTGCAGGACTCAAAGGAAAGAGGGGGATTTGGCCTTCCTGATTTGGAGAAATACTACCAGGCTATAGTACTAGTATGGGTAAGGGACTGGATATTACTAAAGAACAGAAGATTATTATGCCT